TTTTTTTTTTTTTGCTTATGTGGTGCTGAGGAATCGAACCCAGAGCCTCATGCATGCAGGGCAAGTGCTCTACCACTGAGCCACCTTCCCAGCCCATGCTTCTGGCTTTTTGCTGGTTAAAGTCTCATGGATTTATCTGCCAGGCTGGCTTCAAACTGTGATCTTTGCCAACTTGGAGTTTTCTGTGTCTCTTGGCCATAAATGTGTCCCAAGTGTTCAGTGCTTTGAGTGTTTCATTTCAGATGAGTCCTTTCCATTTGCCTAGTGTAATAAAATGTAGTCCACAGACTTTTTCAGGCATTGACAGAATGCTGGAAAATCTGTGAGTGGAACCAGAAAATATTTTTTACCTTGTATGTAGATGTGGAAACAGCTCAGTGCTGGGCCATTTCTAATGCTCTAAAGAACTCTAAGCCATTGTTTTCCCAACTACCCTGTAGCCACTCCTGGTACTTGTTTTAGAATATATCCAGATCCACACAGAGTGACGCCAGAAATCCCAGGAGAGCAGTGCTGTTTCCTGCATCTCATATGGGGGTTCCTAAGATGGCCTCCCATCACCACTGCCTCCATTGCCAGAGAAGGTCTTGGAAGCCCGCATTCCTCACACACACGCCCCTGCTGACTACTCCCCAAAAGTGGAGCTTCTCCGGAACGCAATGTGTGTCAGGTGGCAGGTACAAGTGGGAAAGGCCGAGGCGTCTTCCCTGGCGCGTTCAGCGTTGCGCACAGGCTCTCTATAACGTGCGGAAGCCACACTTCCCCACTCACTATTGGCCTGCTTCTGCAAAGCTGTCTCAACTGCAGAGTGTGCAGCATCTCCAGAAGACAACAGCATTTGGTGACACCCAAGTTCCCGTCTCATCCCCATTTTGGTCTAAGCTTTTAGAATGTCTTCCAGAGCACCAGTGGCTCACACCCCTAATCCTCACTCCTGACAAAGCAAAATCAGGATGATTGTGGCTCAGGTCAGCCTGAGACCCCATCTCATCCAACAGCTGGGCACAGGGGTGAGCATTCATCACCCAGCGAGGTGGGAATCTAGATGAAGATTGGGGTCCCAGAGCAGCCAGAACCAAAAAAAAAGAAAAGGACATGGTCTCAGCAGGAAAGCGCTGAGCTTGGTGGTATGTGCCTTTATCCCAACTCTGGAGGGAAGCCTAGGTCAGAAAAGCACAAGACCCTTATCAGCCAGAACAAGAAGGCTGGAACGTGGCTGTAAGGTAGCGTGCTTGCCTTGCAAGTGTGGCGCCAGGTATCCTTCCTACACCCCCAAAACAAAACCAAGGGCCCTGCACTTGGGCAGGTGTTCTGCGGCTTGAGCCATATTCCCAGTCTTGTATTTTTCTGATAGGACCTTATGTTTTTGCTCAGCTTGAGATCCTTCCATCTGTGCCTCCGACATGGCTGGGGCTCACAGGCGTGCACCACTATGCCCAGCTTGACCTTTGAGACGGGTTCAGCTTTTAATTTTTTTTTGCCCAGTCTGGCCTCAAACCTCCATCCTCCTGATCTTCACCTCTCAAGTGAGCCACTGAGTTTTATGTCTAGTACTCATCAGCGTCGGGTAAAGTAACAGGGTGCAGTAGCCCCTGCTCAAAGCAGAGGGACTTCTGGTGTGCTACCCATCCCCCGCTTCCCCCATTAGCACCTGCTTTCCTACTTCTGGGTTATTTGCCTCTTTTTGCTGACCTTTCCTTCTCTTGATGGTGACCTATGCAGCCCTGAGGGGCCCAGGCTGGGAGGCGGAGGGGGGGCGGGGATAGGAATGGGGGAGACTGAAGGAAGAGGTTTGAAGACCATCCTACTCCAGTATTACAAGAGCGAGGAGAGCTCTGCTCCCGTCACGTACTGAGAAGCCATGGGCCGAGGCTTGGAAGCTGAGCTCTGTTGTCCCCTATGGACACTGTGCCCCAGCCAACCCTAGTTTTGCCGTCTCTGGGACCTTGCCCTGTTCTTCCTCTGTAGCCAGCCCTTCATTGACCCCAGGTGCAGCCAGAACATCCCTGTTCAGACCCTGACAGGAGCAGCTGCCCCCAGGGGAGCTTGTGCCGGGCCAGTGATGGCAAATTCAGGCAGCAGACTTCTCGTCAGCCTGGGATATGGAGGCTGACGAGACATGCAGAGACATGCGGGCGTCCCAACAAGACAGCATGGCACAGGCACTCGGACAGCCCGGGGCCTTGGGAAACAACCTGCGCACAAAGCGGCTACTCTGAGAACCTGAGATTAAAGGCTCTGCTGCGGTCATGCAGAATAACTACACGATACTAAACTGTATCCCCTGCTGGGCTGGGGTGCTTCACAGCCCTGTCCATCCCCCCAACCTCTCAAACATCCCAAGGAAATGACTTCTTTTGGGGAGGAAGGACCAGGGTTGCTGCCCTGCTGTCCCTCCATCTTCCACAGTGCTGCTCTCTGTGTCTCCCCCTGCCCCCTTCTAGGTGCTCTTAGAAACAGGAGAATGTGGCTTAGTGGTAGAGTGCTTGGCTAGCATGCATGAAGCCCTAGGTTTGATTCCTCAGTACCACATAAACAGAAAAAGCCAGAAATGGCTCAAGTGGTACCTTGAGCAAAAAAAAAAAACAGCTCAGGAGCCGAGTGCCAGTGGCTTACACCTGTAATCCTAGCTACTCAGGAGGCTGAGATCTGAGGATCACGGTTCAAAGCTAACCCAGGCAAGGAAAGTCCAGGAGACTCCAATAAAGCACTAGAAAACCGAAAGTGGCGCTGTGGCTCAAGCGGTAGAGGCTTGCCTTGAGCTAAAGAGCTGAGGGATAGCACCCAAACCCAGAGTTTAAGCCCCATGACCGACCCC